CTCTTGCGGCCCTGGGCAGGCTCCTGGGAGCCGCCAGCCTGGTCCCGGGAAGAGGGGGAGGGCTGGGTGGCAGCGGGTGGCTGGCTCATGCTGTACCAGGTGCAGGGTCTGCTGGCTGGGTGCTGGCAGGCTTGCACGTGGCAAGGGCACCGTAGCCAGCCCGTGCCCCTTTAAGGGCTCCAGGGCCGGGAGAGGAGCAATAGAGTTTCCCTGGTGGTGCCCAGAGTGGCCACCAGGGAAAGCTGGGGAGGGCTAGCGTCCCACTAGTTCGAATTAAGGGGCTACACAGCCCTTAATTCGAACTACTTAATTCGAACTAGGCTTAGTCCTCGTGGAATGAGGTTTACCTAGTTTGAATTAAGTTTGAACTAGTGGTTTGTATGTGTAGCGCCTAGCAAAGTTAATTCGAACTAACATCAGTTAATTCGAATTAACTTTGTAGTGTAGACAGACTCTCAGGGGCTGACCGAGGGACTCGGAAATGCAGCCTAGAACACTCAGGGGCTGAGCGAGGAGATGGCCGAGCCATTGGCTGTCATCTTTGAAAAGTCATGGAGGTCGGGGTATGTTGCAGAAGTCTAGAAAAGGGCAAATCTAGGGCCCGTCTATAAAAGGGGAATAAGAACAAGCCAGGAAACTACAGACCAGTCCTTTTAACTTCTGTGCCAGGGACGATAATGGAGCAAGGAATTACGAAATCCATCGGCAAACATCTGGAACATAATACACTGATAAGTAGCAGTCAGCATAAAGCGAGTTAAACTCATTTGATAGCTTTCTGTGATATGCTAACGAGATCGTTGGATAAAATACACGCAACTGCCCAGAGCAGCCAGGTCCTCTGTGACCTGGCCCAGAGCCCAGGAGTTCTCCTCTCCCTTTGGGAAGGGCCTTAATTGCTGTTTACTCCTAGAGCTGGAGAAACAGCATGCTATGGCGACACGGAGAGAGACGTGATTTAGAGAGACTCCTGGCTGTTTAGATTTAGATGTTGGTTGTCCCCTACGGGCCGAGCGAACCCCCCTGGGACGGCCCAGAGCTGGGTTATAACCAGTGCCCAGCCCTGTGCCGGCTCTCGGTGCGGGACGCTACTGCTGACGCCGGGCTGAGAGAGGTACGGGACGCGGTGCATGAGAGGGAGTACCAGAGAAGACACTTGGGTCATTAATCACAGGTACCAGCTCTTGCTGAGGGGCTCCCCTGCTCACCAAACCCAGTGCATCATGGGCAAGATGGGACAGTCTGGGGTTCTTTCTGCTTTGCACCGAAAGTAAACATCCCTGGGCTTTGCTATAGAGGATTAGTTTTCTCCATTATCATGAGTCAAAATGTCCCTTGTCGTAGGACAGTACAGTGAGACAGGAAATTCAGGATTCACTGGTGTGGCATCCTGACAGGTCTCCAGCTCCATCAGCAATGACAAATGTTTGGCTGTGTGCGTTTTCGTATACTCCCTTGGGATATGGTGCCAGCTCTGCACAGGTAGCTAGCATAATAGACTTCAAGAGAGCCATAGAGAACATAAGAACACAGCCTTCCTGGGTCAGACCAATGGCCAATCTAGTCCAGGCTACGTAAAGACTGCTCCACAATTGGCAGACCTTTTTCCAGTAGTTTTTTCAGAAGAGGCTTTTCTGAAATGTGGCCTGTCTGCACTGGGCCAAATTTCAGAAAAACCTCTTTTAGAAGAGTCCTTCTCCTTCGTCAAAGGAAGAAGACGGGGTTTCCATAAGAGCACGTCTGCTTTGCCACCAAAAAAAGCAGAAGAGCAGACGTGATCCCTAGACGCAGGGGAGTTTTTGGTATCCCCAGTAGCCTGTCTGCTGTCAGCGGCCTATGCCTGGTGTCCTTGAGAAGGTGAACAAAACGGAATGATCAAGTGATCCATTTCCAACCCCTGACACCATCCTGCCCATCCTGATAGCCATTGCTGGACCTAAGCTCCATGAATTGATCTAGCTCTTTTCTGAACCCTGTTAAAGTCCTGGTCTTCACTACGTCCTCTGGCAAGGAGTTCCGCAGGTTGACTGTCCGCTGCATAAAGAAAAACTTCCTTTTGTTTGTCTGAAACCTGCTCCCTATTCGTTTCATTTGGTGACCCCTAGTTCTTATATTATGGGAACAAGTTAATAACTTTTCCTTTGTCACTTTCTCCACACCAGTCATGATTTTATAGGCCTCTCTCATATCCCCCCTTAGTCTCCTCTTTTCTAAGATGAAAGTCCCAGTTTTCTTAATCTATCTTCATATTGGTCCCATTCCAAACTCCTCATCATTTTTGTTGCCCTTTTCTGAAGCTTCACGAATGCCAAGAGATCTTCTTTTGTATGAGGCCGCCATAGCTCTATGACTATGAACACAGAGACTCTCTATTAAAAGACTCTTCCCCCAAGAGTCCGATCCATGTGCTCTTCTGCACCCGTCAGCTTTCCCCCAGCCCTTAGTTTAAAACCTGCTCTACGACCTTTTTAATGTTCAGTGCCAGCAGTCTGGTTCCACTTTGGGTTAGGTGGAGCCCGTCCTTCCTGTGTAGGTTTCCTCTATCCCAAAAGTGTCCCCAGTTCTTAGTAAATCTAAACCCCTCTTCCCTACACCATCGTCTCATCCACGCATTGAGCTTCTGAAGCTCTGCCTGCCTACCTGGCCCTGTGCGTGGAACTGGAAGCATTTCAGAGAACGCCACCGTAGAGGTCCTGGATTTCAGTCTCTTTCCTAGCAGCCTAAATTTGGCCTCTAAGACATCTCTCCTACCCTTCCCTACGTCATTGGTACCTACATGTACCACGGCCACCGGCTCCTCCCCAGCACTACACATAAGTCTATCTAGATGCCTCGAGAGATCCGCAACCTTCGCACCAGGCAGGCAAGTGACCATACGGTTCTCCCGGTCATCACAAACCCAACTATCTATGTTTCTAACGATCGAATCCCCCACTACTAACACCTGCCTTTTCCTATTGACTGGAGTTCCTTCCCCCGGAGACATAGCCTCAGTGCGAGAGGATCCCACAACATCCTCTGGAAGGAGAGTCCCGACTACGGGTTCATTTTCCTCTGCACCAGTTGACTGTTCTCCTTCCCTGAGCCTTTCATCCTCCTTAACAGTGCAGAGGCTGTCTGATTGGTGAGGGGACTATTCTATGGTGTCCTGGAAGGCTTCATCGACTTACCTCTCCACCTCCCTTCACTCCTATTCAGCTGCCCCAAATCCCTTTCTGCGGTACTGCTCCGTAGGTAGGAATTATCCATTTTGTGTGTGTGCAGGTGATTGATGTTGTATTCTCTGTGTCGTGTCTATATTTTCAAACCTTTTCTTTATTTTTAATAGTTGACATTTAACAGAGAACTTTCTGGCATTTGCCTTTTTGTTTGTGTTTTTCTTTGGCTCTGCTGCTGCTGGACTGCAAACATGTGTTTCTGAATCAGCTGTCTGGTTGATCAGTCAGTTCTTAACTCTGGTGATCCTAACGTTACGATTCTACTGTTGAGGGTGTTTGTCACCCTCCTTGTCTGCCGATGGACTGCAAAGTGCTTTCTCATCTAATAATAATAATAATAATAGAGACTGCCTATCTCCTAAAACTGGAAGGGACCTTGAAAGGTCATTGAGTCCAGTCCCCTGCCTTCACAGCAGGACCAAGTATCATTCCTGATGAATTTTTGCCCGAAATTCCTAAATGGCCTCTGCAAGAATTGAACTCACCACCCGGGGTTTAACAGGCTAATGCTCAATCCACTGAGCTATCCCTCCCCACAAATGCAGGCGCAGTGCTTTGTCTTACTTCTCTCCAACTGCAGAACAGAACTATTTCTACATAACACAAGAACATACCATAAAAATTGCTAGACTGGGTCAAACTAAAGGTCCATCTATCCCAGTATCCTGTCTGCTGACAGTGGCCAATGCCAGGTACCACAGAGGGAGGGACCACAGCCGGTAATCCTGACATGATCCTTCCCCTGCCATCTACCTCCAGACAAACATATACAAATATAAAATATAAAATAAGGAATTTGAATGTGCAGGATCAGTTTTTGTATTTCATTTCTCTGCATAAGGAAAATGTTATTACTTGTGTGAAGAGCGACCAGTCTGCTTCACCCAGGAGAAGTCTCCAGCGCTGAATGTCACATCTCATACTAACATTGTCTCTCCCTCCAGGCATTTGTACTGTGACATCACGCGAGACCCGGGGCACATGCCCAAAGTCGGGAGAAGACAGAATACATTCAGGAAAGACTGTTCGGTCTCCGTATTGGACTCCTTCTCTGCTACTCTATGTCCAGTTCCAACAGAACCATCTTCACCAACCCCTCCACCTTCATCCTGATGGGCATCCCTGGCCTGGAGGCAGCTCATATCTGGGTCTCCATCCCCTTCTGTGCCATTTACGTCATAACCATCTTGGCAAATTTCACCATCCTATACATTGTGAAGACAGAGCCGAGCCTCCATGAGCCCATGTATTATTTCCTCTGCATGCTGGCCGTCACCGACCTGGTCCTGTCCACATCCACCCTGCCCACAATGCTGAGCAACTTCTGGTTCAATGACAGGGAGATCGGTTTCAGTGCCTGCCTCACCCAGCTGTACTTTGTTCACTGCTTCTCTGCGATTGAGTCTGGGATCTTCGTGGCCATGGCCTTAGATCGCTACGTGGCCATCTGTAATCCCCTGAGACATTCCACCATCCTGACAAACCCTGTGGTGGCCAAAATCGGTTTGGCCGTGCTTCTGAGTGGTGGCGTACTTGCATTACCCTACCCCTTCCTGGCAAGGCAGTGGCCATATTGCAGAACCAACATCATCCCCTACACGCACTGTGAGCACATAGCTGTGGTGAACCTGGCCTGTGCCGACATCCGCATCAGTAGTTACTACGGCCTCTCGGTGCTACTCTGTATAAATGGTCTGTATGTGATTTTGATCGCTGTGTCCTACACCCAGATCCTCAGGGCCATCTTCCGCCTCCCCACAAAGGACGCCCGGCTCAAGACTTTTGGCACTTGTGTCTCCCACCTCTGTGCCATCTTAGCTTTCTACATCCCAACTTACTTCTCCTCCCTCTCGCAGCGGTTTGGTCACAATTTGCCCCTCTCTTTTCATGTTCTCCTTGCCAACGTGTACCTCCTGGTGCCCCCCATGCTGAACCCCATCATCTATGGGGTGAGGACCAAGCAGATCCGAGACAGGCTCTTCTGACTCTTTGCTCAAAAAGAGAGTAAGGTTTTCTGCTGGTGCTCTAGCTCTTCCACTGAGCTCTGAGCAGCACTGGCAGGCGAGAGGGTGCTGGGCCTTCTTCCCTGTATCACAGGCTGGCCAATCAAAGAGAGATTAATTCCTGTCGTGACCTGACTCTGGTACTCAGCATGACACACTAGGGAATAGGTATGTGTACGACACATCTGGTTGCCACCCTATAGACCCACCCCCTGCTCCCAGGCCCTGCCCCGAGCCACATCATCCCTCCAAACCCCACGCCAGTTGCTCACTGCTCCCCTTCCCCCCTCATTTTGTGGATCATCTCTGTGATGGGTCCTCCCCAGGGCATCACCTGGAACAGAGATACAGCTGAGCCCTCGGTCTCCCCAGTCTTGGCTCCCACTTGCACCGTGATGTGACAAGCTGCAAAGCTTGCCTCACGCCAACACAGGGAGGGACTACACCCAGCTGTCTTCATGGATGCTTTGGCCAGCTGCTCATTGACCCACAAAAGTGATGCTACAGCCAAAATATTCCCAGCTGCCCAGCCAAAGACCCCTGAGCTGCACGGTGCTGTCCTGGTGAAAACACAACCAGTATGCATTTGTTACCCCGGGCTCCACTTCCACAAAGGAAAGCAATAGAAAGAGAGGTTTAAAAGGACAATAGACGATAGCAAACAGATCTAAGTAGATTAACAATAAGAAATAAAAGAAAACTATTGTCTAAGCCTCATGTACTAGTCAGGATTTCGTTCAAGCAGTGGCCCACCTAGTTAGTAAGTACAAGCAGGTTAGGTTTTTTCAGGCAGGCTTCTGTCATTCCTGCCTGGGACCAGAAGTTCTCCCCAGTTCAGACTTTTCCCTCTGGAACTTTGAGGTGCGTTGTTGTAGGGAGATTTTAGGACTTTAACAGGGTTCAAAAAAGAGCTAGCTAGATTCATGGAGGTTAGGTCCATCAATGGCTACTAGCCAGGATGGGTAGGAACAGTGTCCCTAGAACATAAGAACGGCCGTACTGGGACAGACCGGAGGTCCGTCTAGCTCAGTAGCCTGTCTGCCGACAGTGGCCAACACCAGGTGCCCCAGAGAGGGTGGACCGAAGACAATGATCAAGCGATTTGTCTCCTGCCATCCCTCTCCAGCTGCTGACAAACAGAGACCAGGGCACCATTCCTTAACCACAGTGACTCTTTTTTAGGTCTCTTGCTATTTTTTTTAATTTGGGGTATACATTTCAGTTGGGCCTCTATTATGGTGTCTTTAAAAAGTTTCCATGCAGCTTGCAGGGATTTTACTCTAGTCACTGTGCCTTTTAAATTCTGTTTAACTAGCCTCCTCATTTTTGCATAGTTGCCCTTTTTGAAATTAAATGCCAGGGTGCTGGACTGCTGAGGTGTTCTTCCCACCACAGGAATGTTAAACGTTATTATATTATGGTCACTATTTCCAAGCGGTCCTGTAATAGTTACCTCCTGGACCTGATCCCGCGCTCCGCTCAGGACTAAATTGAGAATTGCCTCTGCCCTTGTGGGTTCCTGCACCAGCCGCTCCAAGAAGCAGTCATTTAAGGCATCGAGAATTTTTATCTCTGCATCTAGTCCTGAGGTGACGTGTATCCAGTCAATATGGGGATAGTTGAAATCCCCCATTATTATAGAGTTTTTTATTTTTATAGCCTCTCTAATCTCCCTCAGCATTTCAATGTCACTGTCACTGTTCTGGTCAGGTGGTCGGTAATATATCCCTACGGCTAAATTCTTATTATTGGAGCATGAAATTACTATCCATAGCGATTCTATTGAACATGTTGATTCATTTAAGATTTTTACTTCATCTGATTCTGTTATCTTTCACATACAGTGCCACTCCACCACCCACATGGCCTATTCTGTCCTATTCTGTCTATTTTTTTATTTTATATCCCGGTATGGTTGTGTCCCTCTGATTGTCCTCATTCCACCAGGTTTCTGTGATCCCTATTATGTCAATCTCCTCCTTTAATACGAAGTACTCTAGTTCACCCATCTTATTATTTAGACTTCTAGCATTTGTGTAGAAGCACTATTTAAAATTGCCTCTGTTTATTTGTCTTTCCTTTCCTGATGTGTTAGACTCTTGTATATGTGACTATTTCTTGTCTGATCGTCACTGTTCTGGTCAGGTGGTCGGTAATATATCCCTACGGCTAAATTCTTATTATTGGAGCATGAAATTACTATCCATAGCGATTCTATTGAACATGTTGATTCATTTAAGATTTTTACTTCATCTGATTCTGTTATCTTTCACATACAGTGCCACTCCACCACCCACATGGCCTATTCTGTCCTATTCTGTCTATTTTTTTATTTTATATCCCGGTATGGTTGTGTCCCTCTGATTGTCCTCATTCCACCAGGTTTCTGTGATCCCTATTATGTCAATCTCCTCCTTTAATACGAAGTACTCTAGTTCACCCATCTTATTATTTAGACTTCTAGCATTTGTGTAGAAGCACTATTTAAAATTGCCTCTGTTTATTTGTCTTTCCTTTCCTGATGTGTTAGACTCTTGTATATGTGACTATTTCTTGTCTGATCTGGCCCGTTCCTTATAATCTCCCTTCCTCTCTTTCTGACTAAAACCTAGAGAATCTCTATCAATGGATTCTCCTCTAAGAGATGTCTCCATCCGATCCACGTGCTCCTCCGCACCAATCGGCTTTCCCCCATCTCTTAGTTTAAAAACTGCTCTAAGGCCTTTTTAATGTTTAGTGCCAGCAGTCTGGTTCCACCCTGGTTTAGGTGGAGCCCATCCTTCCTGTATAGGCTCCCCCTCTCCCAAAAGTGTCCCCAGTTCCTAATAAATCTAAACCCCTCTTCCCTACCCCATCGTCTCATCCACGCATTGAGACTCTGAAGCTCTGCCTGCCTACCTGGCCCTGCGCGTGGAACTGGAAGTATTTCAGAGAACGCCACCGTAGAGGTCCTGGATTTCAGTCTCTTTCCTAGCAGCCTAAATTTGGCCTCTAGGACGTCTCTCCTACCCTTCCCTACATCATTGGCACCTACATGTACCACGACCACCGGCTCCTCCCCAGCACTACACATAAGTCTATCTAGATGACTCAAGAGATCCGCAACCTTCGCACCAGGCAGGCAAGTGACCATACGGTTCTCACAATCATCACAAACCAAGCTCTGTATGTTTCTAATGATCGAAGCACCCATTACTAACACCTGCCTCTTCCTAACCACTGGCGTTCCCTCCCCTGGAGAGGTCTCCTCAGTGCGAGAGGATACCACAACATCTGTCGGAAGGAGGGTTCCAACTACGGGATGGTTTCCCTCTGCTCCCATTGACTGCTCTCTTCTCCTGAGTCTTTCATCCTCCTCAACAGCTGTGGGGCTGTCTGACCAGAGGTGGGGCAATTCTACAGTGTCCCGGAAAGCCTCATCTACGTAGCTCTCGGCCTCCCTCAGCTCCTCCAGTTCAGCCACCCTGGCCTCCATAGCCCGAACTTGGTCTCTCAGCGTCAGGAGCTCCTTGCACCAGGTACACGCATACGCCACCTGCCTACAGGGCAGACTGCCTACAGGGCAGGTAATCATATGTGTTACACTCAACACAATAAACAGGATAGCCCCCACTCTGCTGCTGGGCTTCTGCCTACCCTCTGTTTGTCTGGAGATAGGTGACAGGGGAAGGATCATGGGAGGATTACATGTTGTGTTCCCTTCCTCTGGGGCTACTGGCATTGGCCACGGTAGGCAGAGAAGACACTGAGCTGTGTCTAGACTGCAGGCTTCTTTCAGCTAGAAAAATGTATTTAGAAAGAGAGTGTCGACTCAGCAAAAGCACAATGAAAAAAAGATCTACTTTTTCAAAATGTGGTTTACTGCTGTTGGAAAATAAACCCTGCATTCGTTTGACTTTCTATTGAAAGAACGCAGTTACAGTGTGGACATAAGTATCGTTTTTCTGCCTTTTTTGTATATTGCCTTTTTACCAGAAAAACTCTGCAGCATAGGCATGTCTACACTGCAGAATGTTTCCGGGATGCCAGAAGTACATAAGAACATAAGAATGGCTCTTTCTGAACCTTTTCTAATGCCAGTATATCTTTTCTGAGATAAGGAGACCACATCTGTACGCAGTATTCCAGATGTGGGCATCCCATGGATTATATAAAGGCAATAAGATATTCTCCGTCTTATTCTCTGTCTCTTTTTTAATGATTCCTTACATCCTGTTTGGTTTTTTGACTGCCGCTGCACACTGCGTGGACGTCTTCAGAGAACTCTCCACGCTGATTCCAAGATCTATTTCCTGACTAGTTGAAGCTAATTTCGACTCATCCACTTCTTCTTACTAGCGAGGTGGTCTGTTAAGGTATGTCTACACTACAGCGTTATTTCAAAATATCTAATTTTGAAATAGTTAATTCAACATAGCTTATTTTGAAATAACGTGTCTATACACAAAATGCATTTCGAAATAGCCTTTTTCTATTTCAAAATAGTGTGTCCACACTGAGAGGATGTTGAATCACATTTAAGGCTGGTTGGAACCAGTTCCAGCAGGGCATCAAGTCAGAAGGTACCTTGTGGCCAGGGCGGCCAGCAGGGCTGGAGGTCCCATGTTTTGAAATAAGTGTGTACGCAGTGCTTATTTCGAAATAGCAATTTCAAAATTGGCACCATTCCTCGTGGAATGAGGTTTACCAATTTTGAAATAAGCCCTCTGCCATTTCGAATTAATTTTGAAATAACAGGATGGCTGTGTAGACTCTAAGGGTATGTCTACACTACCACCCTGGTTCGAACTAGGGTGGTTAATGTAGGCAACTGGAGTTGCAAATGAAGCCCGGGATTTGAATTTCCCGGGCTTCATTTGCGTGTTGCCGGGCGCCGCCATTTTTAAATGCCAGCTAGTTCGGACTCCGTGCCCGCGGCTACACGCGGCACGGACTAGGTAGTTCGGATGAGGCTTCCTATTCCGAACTACCTGTACACCTCGTTCCACGAAGAGGCATCTACTAGGGTGGTAATGTAGAGATACCCTACAATAGTTATTTCGAAATAACTTTGCTGTGTAGACATACCCTTGTAGACCCTCTATCATGATATCACCCTTGTTTCTTACCACTGGTTTCCTCTCCCAGAGATTCTCAGCAGGTCTGTGTAATACATTCATCTCAGCCTCTGTACAATGTATATTTGTACAGGCAACATCTCCTGCCTTTTGTCCTTGCTTCTGCTTCCTAAGCAAGACCAATATTCCAGTTATGGGTATTTTCCTACCCAGTCTCTTTGATGGAGCCCAGTTGTGTTTGTAGCAAGACGGAGGCCTGACATGTAAGCCCATGTATCAACGGTCAAGACTTTGCAAACGCAGAGCAATTCAAGCTGCGAGCAAGAGGCAGGCCCAGCTCACAGAACATGGCACAGACAGGGCAGATGTTGTAGACACTCTAACTGGTACCAGGCACAGGCTGCCCGCACATCCCAGAGGGATGGTAACAACCCTTCGTTATGAAGCATCTTGGTACCAACCCTCTCCGCACAGAAACAGGGACACACGGGCCCAAGTTCAGGACAGGGTGTAACATGGCAGCATGACGGATGGCGATGGTTTTGATTGAACCACCAAGTGCACTGAAATGGATGGTATCGAGGCAACGTCATCGGGTAGCAACGTGAGACACCAGGAGTGATGTGTACGATGTTTGCATTGGAGTAAAAGATGTTTCTTTTAGAGGCTGTCTTTGGCCAAGAATCTACCATTGACTGCATTGTGTCCATGGCAGGGAGTACTCAGGAGGAGTGGGTCGCTAGGGTCTGCTGACAACAGTTCCAGTATTTCATTTGATAATATGGGTGGCCTGGTGCCTTTGATCCTTATCTGATTTTGTGGTCTTGGGGGGCTCTCTTGAAGTCTATTTTGCTGGCTCCCTGTGCAGAGCCAGCCCGATATACAGGCAGGGTTCCCGCTAAGGTTTTCCAACAGTGAGCAGAGTGAGTTTTGGCTTGTGCACCAATATTGAGGTTGCGTGTGCTGGTTTGGATGGGTGCCACCATGGCACCCAATTTATTCACACACAAGTTCCTGGCCACCGGAGCAGATGCCCTCCCCCACCGCATGCGGCAGGTCCTGTTCCTGGCCCCGGCCACCAGAACAGGCCTTGCCCTCCCCACCACCTGCACCATGTGGAAGCCCTGGCCATCAGAAGAGGCCATCTGTCTGTGGCATGTGTCTGTGGCAGGTCCTGACCCTCTGCCCCAGCGGTTCTCCTGAGGTGGTGGACGGGGGGAAAACTCTGCGCACAGCCATGCAGGTGCGCACCTCAGTGGGAACATTGTACACAGGGGAGCCCATGTATGCAGCCAAATGGGTATCATCATTGCACAGGGCGAGATGCCCGTTAGCACAGCACATTCGTGACCGCTGAGCACAATACTTATTTACTAGCAATATCAGTTCTTCAACTGTATTCATCCAACGTCTCCCATTTGTACCCAGACCTCCAAGATCCTGGCTTGATCCCTCCCTCTCCCCCACTTCTATCTTGTCTCATCTTTATCTCTGCTATTACAGTCCATGCTCCTCCCAATTTCTCACCCTTCTCCCGCCTCTTTGTTTTTGTCTTTCATGGGGGCTGTCATCACCTGTCCTCGCCGAACGTAGTTTAGAGCCCTCCTCACGAGGTGGGCCAGTCTGCTTCCAAACAGGCCCTTTCCCTCCCTCGAGAGGTCGTGTACCTATCCGTGGATGTCGGGGGTTTGCAGCTTGTCACACCCCAAGGCAAGAGGGAACGTGGACTGGTGAGACAGAGACCTGAGCTCTGCCTCCATTCCTGGTGCCACCCTGGGTGGGACCCACCACAGAAATGATCCGGAGAGTGACATTGGGAGGAGAGGAGGAGGGTTGGCAGTAAATATTGGGAAGCAGCTGAAGGGCTGAAATGCAGAAGTGGAGCAGAGGTGAGAGCCTGAGGAAAAAGGTAGGAGGGGGCAAGTATTCACAGGCCCATGTACAACCAGAATTAGAGTTAGAGGCAGCAACCCCAGGAGTCAATGAATGTGCACAGACCCATCCCCAGGTTGTCACACAGACACATCACACTAAGGCCAGGAAAGAGTTTAATGTCGCACACACAGCCCAGTCAGTGATGAAACCAGCCTGTCAACAGTCGACTCTGAAGGGAGTTCTGTGTGAGAGCCAGAGCACCAGCACAAAACGTCAGGTCCTTTTACGAGTAAAGAGCAGACGCAGCTTCTCCCGGATCTGTTTGGTCCTCAGCCCATAGATGATGGGGCTTAGCATGGGGGGCACCAGGAGGTACACGTTGCCAATGAGAGCATGGAAATACAATGCCAGATTCTGGCCAAAGCGCTGTGTGAAGGAGAAGAAAAAACCAGGGACGTAAAAAGCTAAGATGGCACAGACGTGGGAGCCACAGGTCCCAAAAGCTTTGAGCCGGGATTCTTTTGTGGGGAGGTTGAAGATGGCCCGGAGGATCAGGAAATAGGACATGGCAATAAAAAATGTGTCCAGACCTTCCCCACAAAGTAGCTCAAAGAGGCCGTAGGAACTACTGAGGCTGATGTCGGCGCAAGCCAGCTTCACCACAGGGATGTTCTCGCAGTGCGTGTGAGGGATGATGTTGGTTCTGCAATATGGCCACTGTCTCACCAGGAAGGGATAGGGCAATGTGAGCATGACAGCTCGCAGCAATACAGCCAAGCCAATCTTGGCCACCACGGAGTTTGTCAGGATGGTGGAATGTCTCAGGGGGTGGCAGATGGCCACGTAGCGATCAAAAGCCATGGCCACGAAGATCCCTGACTCAATCACGGAGAAGCAGTAAACAAAGAATATTTGGGCGAGGCAGGCACTGAATTTGATCTCCCTGGAATTGAACCAGAAGATGCTCAGCATTTTGGGAAGGGTGGATGTGGACAGGACCAGGTCGGTGATGGCCAGCATGCAGAGGAAATAGTACATGGGCTGGTGGAGCCTCGGCTCTGTCTTCACGATGAAGAGGATGGTCAAGTTTCCCAAGATGGCTATGATGTACATGATGCAGAAGGGGATGGAGATCCAGACATGGGTGGCCTCCAGGCCAGGGATGCCCATCAGGATGAAGGTGGAGGGATCTGACATGGAGTCAGAGAGAAGGTGTCCGATCCTGATGCAGAGCAACGTCTCCTATTCAAAACGCACATTCCCCCGGCTTGCTGTAGGTGCCCAGGGTGTTAGGTGATGGTCACAGCCCAAATGCCTGGACGGAGAGACAAAGTGAATGTCACACACTACATGCCCTGCTCCACTCAAGCTAGTGTAGACGCGCACTATGTTATTTCAGAATAACGTGAGGTATTCTGAAATACTATTGGGCTGTGTCTACACTGGCATGAATTTCCGGAAATGCTTAAAACGGAATACTATTCCGTTTTCAGTTTTTCCGGAAAAGGAGCGTCTACATTGGCAGGCTGCTTTTCCGGAAAAGCGTCTGTGGCCAATGTAGACGCGCTTTTCCGGAAAAGAACCCCGATCGCCATTTTCGCAATCAGGGCTTTTTTCCGGAAAAGACTACTTGGCTGTCTACACTGGCCCTTTTCCGGAACAGTGTTCCAGAATAAGGACTTATGCCCGAGTGGGAGCAGAATAGTTTTTCGGAATAGCGGCTGATTTTGTACAGTAGAGCATCGTTGCTTTTCCAGAAATTCAAGGGCCAGTGTAGACAGCTTGCAGCTTATTCCGGAAAAGCGTCTGATTTTCCGGAATAAGTGGCCCAGTGTAGACACAGCCTTGCTGTTTAGACAGACCCCTAGTGCTTCAAAAGGGCACATTAACTACAGCTGAGACAATTTCTCAGCAAAACTGTGAGGACAAAATTAGAAGAAAAATATGAATGAAACTTGGGAATTTTAAAGAAGGGATTATTAGATAGTCAAAACCGCGGATGAATTTAGCTAAAGATCTGTTTCATTGGCAAAGTGAAGGCAGCTATTACTGGGGGAAAGGCAATATAAAACAAATGGAAAAGGGAAAATAGATAGCAAATAATAGGAATTCCATGTTACACTAAAGATATTAGGGGAAAATCCATCCTTTGCAAGGCTAAGGATAAAAAAAGGGAATTTATAAACTATATTAAGAATAAAAGAAATCCTATAAAATACTTAATTTGTGGAGACCGGGAGAAGTCCCGGATGATTGGAAAAAGGCAAATGGTAATGTCTATCTTTAAAAAAGGGAAGAAAAACAATCCAGGGAACTACAGACCAGTCAGCCTCTCCTCAGTACTGGGAAAAATCATGGAGGGGATTGTCGGGCTCAACGGATAGTCATCAACAGCTCGATGTCTGGCTCGTGGTCAGTTTCAAGTGCAGTGCCCCAAGGATCTGTTCTAGGACCAGCCCTTTGTTATTAATGACCTGGAAGAGGGGATGGATTGCACCCTCAGCAAGTTTGCAGATGACACTAAGCTAGGAGGAGAGGGAGATATGCTGGAAGGTTAAGCTACCTAGACTGATTAGAGTATTGGGCCAAAAGAAATCTGATGAGGTTCAATCAGGACAAGTATAGAGTCTTGTAGTGGGGATGGAGGAATCCCAGGCATTGTTACAGGCTGGGGACCAACCAGCTATGTAGTAGTTCTGCAGAAAAGGACTTGGGGGTTACAGTGGATGAGAAGCTGGATATGAGTCAACAGTGCGCCCTTGTAGCCAAGAAGGCTAATGGCATATTAGGGTGCATTAGGAGGAGCATTGCCAGCAAATGTAGAGAAGTGATCATTCCCCTTTATTCGGCTCTGGTGAGGCCACATCTGGATTATTGTGTCCAGTTCTGGGCCCTCCACTATAGAAAGAACGTGGACACATTGGAGAGGGTCCAGCAGAGGGCAACCAAAATGATGAGGGTGCTGGAGCACATGAGCTATGAGGAAAGGCTGAGGGATTTGGACTTGACAAAGCCCTGGATGCGATGTTCAAGAAATGTTATTGTTGTGCATTCAGGAAAAAGCAACGTGATGTTCTCTTGTTACTTAAGGTATCGAAGTACGTTCCAATCCCATAAGAGTGAACGAGGATGGTAAACACCATCTACAGTAGAACCTTAAAGTTATGAACTTGAGAGTAACAAATAGGCCACGCATGTGATTCTGAACCAGAAATGCGCAAATGGACAGCAGCAGAGCCTAAAAACAAACAAACAAACAAACAAAAACAAACAAACAAAAACAAACAAACAAACAAAAACAAACAAACAAACAAATAACTCAAGAAAACAAAGTAAAAGGGAGATAGAGACCAGTTCTGTGTTAAATATAAACTATTGAAAATAAAAGGTAAATATAAAAGCAGTTTTCACTTGTTCATGATGCAATGGGATATCTGAGTTGAAGTTAGTTTAAAAAATCTAAGAATGTCATTAATGCCAGTCAGCAACATGACTTATGAAGAACAGGCTTTGTGTAAAAGCAGCATCCTCTGGCAAGGAGTTCCACAAGTTGTCTGTGCTGGAAAGTCCCATAGTTTTTAATCTCACCTCATATGAAAGCTGCTCCACACACCTAATCATTCTTGTTGCCTTTCTGGGACATTTTCTAATTAGAAATAGATCATTTCTGAGATGGGGAGACCACATCTGTGTGCAATATTCCAAGATTTCTCTCTCAGAATGGTTAGAGCAACTTTAAGCCCCAATCTTTTGTCTGTGTGTCTGGGACTATGATTCTGAACGTGCATTACTTTGCATTTATGAACATCGCCCACTTTCTTGCGCAATCAGCTAGTTTTGCGAGGTCCCTTTGTAGCTCTTCGCTGTTGGCTTTGGATTCATTATCCTGAGCAGTTTTTTATCATCTGCAGATTTTATCACCTTATGATCACCTTTCTCCAGATGCTGTATAAAGCCCTGTTCCCAGTGCAGCACTATTTACCACCCTCCATTCTAAAACCTGACTATTTCTTCTCACCCCTTTGTTTCCTGTCTTGTAACCAGTTCCCGATCCATGAGATCCTTCCTCTTTGGCCTCCGGCAGCTGACTCGGCTTAAAGAACTTTGGTGGGGGACCTTGTAAAACACTTTCTAAAATTCTTAGCCTGGCATAGCCATGGGATCTCTCTGGCCCACATGCCTGTGGGCCCTGACAAAGAATTCTACCAGATTTACTCCTTCTTGTGTAATGGGTAGGAGTAAATAACTCTGCTTTATTCACGTTTCCTACGCCTGCCATGACTTTATAGACCGTATCCCACCTTAGTAATCTCTTTAGTTGAAAAGTCCTAGTCTTATTAGTCTTTCTCCATATGGAACCCGTTCCATATCTCTAATCATTTTTGTTGCCCTTTTCTGAACCTTCATATGGGACCCATTCCATAAGAACATAAGAACATAAGAACGGCCGTACTGGGTCAGACCAAAGGTCCATCTAGCCCAGTATCCTGTCTGCCGACAGTGGCCAACACCAGGTGCCCCGGAGGGGGTGGACCGAAGACAATGATCAAGCGATTTGTCTCCTGCCATCCCTCTCCAGCCTCTGACAAAAGAAGTCCCGGATGATTGGAAAAAGGCAAATGGTAATGTCTATCTTTAAAAAAGGGAAGAAAAACAATCCAGGGAACTACAGACCAGTCAGCCTCTCCTCAGTACTGGGAAAAATCATGGAGGGGATTGTCGGGCTCAACGGATAGTCATCAACAGCTCGATGTCTGGCTCGTGGTCAGTTTCAAGTGCAGTGCCCCAAGGATCTGTTCTAGGACCAGCCCTTTGTTATTAATGACCTGGAAGAGGGGATGGATTGCACCCTCAGCAAGTTTGCAGATGACACTAAGCTAGGAGGAGAGGGAGATATGCTGGAAGGTTAAGCTACCTAGACTGATTAGAGTATTGGGCCAAAAGAAATCTGATGAGGTTCAATCAGGACAAGTATAGAGTCTTGTAGTGGGGATGGAGGAATCCCAGGCATTGTTACAGGCTGGGGACCAACCAGCTATGTAGTAGTTCTGCAGAAAAGGACTTGGGGGTTACAGTGGATGAGAAGCTGGATATGAGTCAACAGTGCGCCCTTGTAGCCAAGAAGGCTAATGGCATATTAGGGTGCATTAGGAGGAGCATTGCCAGCAAATGTAGAGAAGTGATCATTCCCCTTTATTCGGCTCTGGTGAGGCCACATCTGGATTATTGTGTCCAGTTCTGGGCCCTCCACTATAGAAAGAACGTGGACACATTGGAGAGGGTCCAGCAGAGGGCAACCAAAATGATGAGGGTGCTGGAGCACATGAGCTATGAGGAAAGGCTGAGGGATTTGGACTTGACAAAGCCCTGGATGCGATGTTCAAGAAATGTTATTGTTGTGCATTCAGGAAAAAGCAACGTGATGTTCTCTTGTTACTTAAGGTATCGAAGTACGTTCCAATCCCATAAGAGTGAACGAGGATGGTAAACACCATCTACAGTAGAACCTTAAAGTTATGAACTTGAGAGTAACAAATAGGCCACGCATGTGATTCTGAACCAGAAATGCGCAAATGGACAGCAGCAGAGCCTAAAAACAAACAAACAAACAAACAAAAACAAACAAACAAACAAATAACTCAAGAAAACAAAGTAAAAGGGAGATAGAGACCAGTTCTGTGTTAAATATAAACTATTGAAAATAAAAGGTAAATATAAAAGCAGTTTTCACTTGTTCATGATGCAATGGGATATCTGAGTTGAAGTTAGTTTAAAAAATCTAAGAATGTCATTAATGCCAGTCAGCAACATGACTTATGAAGAACAGGCTTTGTGTAAAAGCAGCATCCTCTGGCAAGGAGTTCCACAAGTTGTCTGTGCTGGAAAGTCCCATAGTTTTTAATCTCACCTCATATGAAAGCTGCTCCACACACCTAATCATTCTTGTTGCCTTTCTGGGACATTTTCTAATTAGAAATAGATCATTTCTGAGATGGGGAGACCACATCTGTGTGCAATATTCCAAGATTTCTCTCTCAGAATGGTTAGAGCAACTTTAAGCCCCAATCTTTTGTCTGTGTGTCTGGGACTATGATTCTGAACGTGCATTACTTTGCATTTATGAACATCGCCCACTTTCTTGCGCAATCAGCTAGTTTTGCGAGGTCCCTTTGTAGCTCTTCGCTGTTGGCTTTGGATTCATTATCCTGAGCAGTTTTTTATCATCTGCAGATTTTATCACCTTATGATCACCTTTCTCCAGATGCTGTATAAAGCCCTGTTCCCAGTGCAGCACTATTTACCACCCTCCATTCTAAAACCTGACTATTTCTTCTCACCCCTTTGTTTCCTGTCTTGTAACCAGTTCCCGATCCATGAGATCCTTCCTCTTTGGCCTCCGGCAGCTGACTCGGCTTAAAGAACTTTGGTGGGGGACCTTGTAAAACACTTTCTAAAATTCTTAGCCTGGCATAGCCATGGGATCTCTCTGGCCCACATGCCTGTGGGCCCTGACAAAGAATTCTACCAGATTTACTCCTTCTTGTGTAATGGGTAGGAGTAAATAACTCTGCTTTATTCACGTTTCCTACGCCTGCCATGACTTTATAGACCGTATCCCACCTTAGTAATCTCTTTAGTTGAAAAGTCCTAGTCTTATTAGTCTTTCTCCATATGGAACCCGTTCCATATCTCTAATCATTTTTGTTGCCCTTTTCTGAACCTTCATATGGGACCCATTCCATAAGAACATAAGAACATAAGAACGGCCGTACTGGGTCAGACCAAAGGTCCATCTAGCCCAGTATCCTGTCTGCCGACAGTGGCCAACACCAGGTGCCCCGGAGGGGGTGGACCGAAGACAATGATCAAGCGATTTGTCTCCTGCCATCCCTCTCCAGCCTCTGACAAACAGAGACCAAGGACACCATTTTATCCCCTGGCTAGTAGCCTTTTATGGACCTAACCTCCATGAATTTATCCAGCTTCTCTTTAAACTCTGTTATAGTCCTAGCCTTCACCGCCTCCTCTGGCAAGGAGTTCCACAGGTTGACTACACGCTGTGTGAAGAAGAACTTTCTTTTATTAGTTTTAAACTTGCTCCCCATTAATTTCATTTGGTGTCCTCTAGTTCTTCTATTTAGGGAACTAATAAATAACTTTTCTTTATCAGCCCTCTCCACACCACTCATGATTTTATAGACCTCTATCATATCCCCCTCAGTCTCCTCTTTTCTAAACTGAAAAGTCCCAGTCACTTTAACCTCTCCTGATATGGGACCTGTTCCAAACCCCTCATCATTTTAGTTGCCCTTCTCTGAACCTTTTCTAATGCCAGTATGTCTTTTTTGAGATGAGGTGACCGCATCTGTACACAGGATTCAAGATGTGGGCGTACCATGGATTTATATAGAGGCAAGAAGATATTCTCTGTCTTATTCTCTATCCCTTTCTTAATGATTCCAAACATTCTGTTTGCTTTTCTCTCTGCTGCTGCGCACTGAGCGGCTGTTTTCAAAGAATTATCCGCAATGACTCCAAGATCTCTCTCTTAAGAGGTAACAGCTAATATATCCCCAATCATTTTGTATGTATAGCTGGGATTCTGTGGTCTGCTTTGGACATAACTACCTTGAGCAGCTTTGTATAATCTGCATATTTTCCATTTCACTGTTTACCCCTTTTTCAAGACCATTTCTGAATATTTTGAATAGTGTGGATCCCAGTAAAGACCACTTGGGGGACACCGCTGGTTACCGCTCTCCAGTCTGAAAACTAAGCATTTGTTTCCTGTATCTTCTCAGGTACATTTGACACTCTGTCTGACAGAGTGGATGCTCCTGTCCCTTTTCCTCGCTAGGATTTGACATCCAGGCTGTGTCTAGACTGGCCACTTTTTCCGGAAAATCATCTGATTTTCCAGAAAAACTTGCCAGCTGTCTACACTGGCCGCTTGAATTTCCGCAAAAGCACTGACGATCTCATGTAAGATTGTCAGTGCTTTTGTGGAAATACTATGCTGCTTCCATTTGGGCAAAAGTCTTTTTCTGAAAAACTTTTGCACAAAAGGGCCAGTGTAGACAGCTCAGATTTGTTTTCCGCAAAAAAGCCCCGATCGAGAAAATGGTGATCAGGGCTTTTTTGCAGAAAAGCACGTCTAGATTGGCCATGGACGCTTTTCTGGAAAAAGTGCTTTTGCGGAAAAGCATCCTGCCAATCTAGACGTGCTTTTCCGAAAATGCTTTTAACGGAAAACTTTTCCGTTAAAAGCAATTTCGGAAAATCATGCGAGTGTAGACGTAGGCCCAGTGTTTAAAAGAGGCCCTTTTCTCTCTCACTACGTCTTTTCCTTTTCCTTGGTTCTTCAGACACAGTGATGCTTTATTGTTTCTCTTACTATATTTTTATTTATATCTGGACGAGGCATTTGCAGCGAGCCTTTCAACAAGAAACATTCCCTGTGCCCCTGAAATGCAGCCAGCTCTGAGCTAGAGGACACCAGCTGGGGGGATAGAAAAAGACGTTTTGGTCCATGATCCTAGAGCAAACCCATCCCTTTTGCAAGGGCCCTGGGATGTTCAGTGGCTGTGAAGAGCAGCAAAGACCCCAGACTGACTCTCTCT